GTTTGCAAGGAAGTGGGTGCCTTTCTGCAAGAAGCACAATATTGAGCCCAGGGCCCCCGAGTTTTATTTTTCCCAAAAGATTGATTATCTGAAGGACAAGATACAGCCTTCTTTTGTGAAAGAGCGCCGAGCAATGAAGGTGAGTCAAGAAGAAAAGCATGCCCTCTCTAACTTTTGTCTGTATTTCACATGGATTCAGTGGGTTCTAGTGTTCTTTTACTTGTTTTCAACACTATACATGCGATTGAGTATAATATGTGGCATTCTTTTCCTTGCTTTCAACGTTATACATGAGATTGAGTATAATATGTGGCATTCTTTTCCTTGCTTTCAACGTTATACATGAGATTGAGTATAATATGTGGCATTCTTTTCCTTGCTTTCAACGTTATACATGAGATTGAGTATAATATGTGGCATTCTTTTCCTTGCTTTCAACGTTATACATGAGATTGAGTATAGTTAAGTGTCACAGAGAGAATATGAAGAATTCAAGGTGCGGATCAATGCTCTTGTTGCCAAAGCTCAGAAGATGCCAGAAGAAGGTTGGACAATGCAGGATGGAACTCCGTGGCCTGGAAATAATCCCAGGGATCACCCAGGAATGATCCAGGTATTATAATCCTTCCTACATGTATTCATACTCACCATGCTTTTGTCCCCCCCCCCCCCCCCCCCCCCTTCCCTAGCCCCCGACTCCCTAGCCCCCCCCCCCCCCCCCGCCTACAATTTACCCTTTCTGGCATATGGTGGAGAGCAGGTGTTCTTAGGTCACAGTGGGGGGCTCGATACAGATGGAAATGAGCTACCTCGTCTTGTATATGTTTCTCGTGAAAAGAGACCTGGATTCCAGCATCACAAGAAAGCCGGAGCAATGAATGCACTGGTTTGCCATCTTAATCTCTTGTATAATTTGACCCCTTGTTCCAATTTCACAAATAACTGTTATTCATCACAGGTCATGGTACCATTTGAGTGCTGATTTTTTTGCGCAAATCAAAAAGCAGATGCTTATCTATCTTCTCTCTCCTCTTCTTTTTTCACTTAAATAAATGGAAGTTTGCATTTGAATGTACCATGTTTTGGTTCGAGATGATTGATTTTCAGGACTTAGAGCACCACAATTTGTGTGCTAAAATCAAAATGTCTCCTTTCTCGGTCTTTATGTTGTGTAGATTCGAGTTTCAGCTGTACTGACCAATGGTGCCTATCTTCTGAACGTCGATTGTGATCACTACTTCAATAACAGCAAAGCTCTAAAAGAAGCCATGTGTTTCATGATGGACCCTGCATATGGAAAGAAGACATGCTATGTACAGTTCCCACAACGTTTTGATGGCATTGACTTGCACGATCGATATGCCAATCGCAATATTGTTTTCTTTGATGTAAGTCAGTCGATTTATCATCAATCTAGAAAATATTCCTTTCTGTGCGATGTTGTATTGGATGGCTCATGTTTTGTCATTATATCTTGCAGATCAACTTGAAGGGTCTGGACGGCATCCAGGGGCCTGTGTATGTTGGAACTGGTTGCTGTTTCAACCGGCAAGCCCTGTATGGTTATGATCCAGTTTTGACAGAGGAAGATTTGGAACCAAACATTATTGTAAAGAGTTGTTGTGGCTCAAGAAAGAAGGGAAGGGGTGGTAATAAGAAGTATATTGACAAAAAGAGAGCAATGAAAAGAACCGAATCCACTGTCCCCATTTTCAATATGGAGGACATTGAGGAGGGTGTTGAAGGTTGGTTTCTGCTAGAAGTTGTTTTTTCTCACCTGTCCTTTTCAATTAATATCTTGTACTAGCACTGCATGTCAGTAGTTTAGTTTATGATGGAGCATGGTCAGTCCTCATTTATACTTGGTAACTAACATTTTGATTACCTTGAATTTTGTCATATACATTAATTATTTACAAAGCAATGTAAGTTTCATTAGACAATGCTAAGCTTATTCTTATATTTCATGCCATGGGGTAATGATAAACTACAGAACACCCAATTTCAGATTTATAATGATTTTGATTAAACTTGGTGGTGGAAACTACAAATGATTACAGAAAAGTTTACATGGCATGTGGCATGTATTCTTTTAACTGCATTCCTTCTCTTTTGCAGGATATGATGATGAGAGGTCACTGCTTATGTCGCAGAAGAGTTTAGAAAAGCGTTTTGGTCAGTCACCAGTTTTTATTGCAGCTACCTTCCAGGAACAGGGAGGCATTCCACCAACAACCAATCCTGCAACTCTTTTGAAAGAAGCTATCCATGTTATTAGCTGTGGATATGAAGACAAGACTGAATGGGGCAAAGAGGTCAGTCTTGCTTTATCATCAGTAGTAATTGCTTAATCTGATCAAGTTTTGTTTATTATATGTTAGCTCATTCTTTTTGTCATCTGCCAGATTGGATGGATCTATGGTTCTGTTACAGAAGATATTTTGACTGGGTTCAAGATGCATGCTCGTGGTTGGATATCAATCTATTGCATGCCTCCTCGCCCTGCATTTAAGGGCTCTGCTCCTATCAATCTTTCTGATCGTTTGAACCAGGTTCTTCGATGGGCCTTGGGATCTATTGAGATTTTACTGAGCAGGCATTGCCCCATATGGTATGGATACAATGGAAGATTAAAGCTTTTGGAGAGGCTAGCATATATTAATACCATCGTGTACCCTCTAACTTCTCTTCCACTCCTTGCGTACTGTGTACTTCCTGCTGTTTGCCTTGTCAGTGGAAAATTTATTATTCCTGAGGCAAGTGACAGTTTCATTTCTTTTGGTACAAGTTGATCGTACTATTCAGATCTTAATTAACAAACCAATAATTTTTCTACAATTTCTTTTCAGATAAGTAACTATGCCAGCATGTGGTTCATTCTGCTTTTCATCTCCATTTTTGCTACTGGAATACTTGAGCTTAGATGGAGTGGAGTTGGTATTGAAGACTGGTGGAGGAATGAACAATTCTGGGTCATCGGCGGTACATCAGCTCATTTCTTTGCCGTCTTTCAAGGACTTTTGAAGGTGCTTGCAGGTATTGATACCAACTTCACTGTCACTTCAAAGGCATCTGATGAAGATGGGGATTTTGCAGAGCTTTATGTGTTCAAATGGACATCTCTTCTCATCCCTCCTACCACAGTCATTTTACTAAACATGGTGGGTATTGTAGCTGGTGTATCCTATGCCATAAACAGTGGATACCAGTCATGGGGTCCTCTCTTTGGCAAGCTCTTCTTTGCTATTTGGGTCATTGCCCATTTGTATCCTTTCCTCAAGGGTTTGTTGGGTCGGCAAAATCGTACGCCAACAATTGTCATTGTCTGGTCTATTCTCCTTGCCTCCATTTTCTCCTTGCTATGGGTGCGCATTGACCCCTTCACCTCGGACTCCACAAAAGCTGTCGCAAATGGCCAATGTGGAATCAACTGCTAGATTGTCCTGGGATCATTTTGTCATGCCATCTCTTCTCAGAGCCTACCCTCATGTATATAACAAGAAATCAAGGTACTGAACGATGTCAATTAATTTATGAAGAAAGGGTTAACCTGAGAGATGTATTTCTTGGTTGGGAGGCACAGTGAAGGACATAAACACATCAGGAGAAAACCCTTTCATTATATCATCTTTGTTGTACCAAAAGGTGTTTCTATGCATCCCCACACGAGCAGGTGTTTCTGGACTAAGTTTGTTAATGCCATTGTTGTGCAGCTTTGTGGTGATCTTATTTTTTTGATAGAAGTTTATAGAAATATCCATCCATTGTCTAGAAGTACTCGGCTAAAAATTTCATTCCATGTGTAGGACTGCATATCATGGAATTTTAATTTATCACAGAACTCTCTGATTGCAAATCGGCTCTTGAATTTTAATCTACTGCTGAAGGAGTTCCAGATTGCATTTCATTTCCCTTACTGTATGTTTGAAATGTATGCTGGCTTTAAATAATTAATGATCCGTGACCTCCTAATTAGGAAATCTAATAATAGAAGATGCCAATCACCAGAGTCAGGATTGAAGTAAGCAACAAATGATGGATTAAACAGGATGATCTGTCATTTGAGTGTTCATGCCCTAATTGATGCCTACAAACCTTATCTTGGGTGGGATTATTAAAACATCTTAAATGGATTGAAGCAAGCAACATGCTGTTGTTTATGACTATGGTCTCAGACAGAATTTGGCAAACCTCTTTGAGTAAGTTTTGCTATCTGAAAATTTACGACACAACCTTATGTTGTTTGATCAACCTTTTCATTTCAGGATGAGTTTTGAATGTCAACTAGATTATTGGATTTAAATAAAATATAGTAGACTATATATTTTTTAAAAAATCATAAAAATATAGTGATCAATTTTTTAAGATGTTATAAAAACCTTATTCAAATTTAAATAAATATTATAAAACTCCTTTTTGTATTTAATTTTTTCTCTCCATATTTTTTAATCATTCCCTCGACATTAACATCAAAGGTGTTTTCAGTATAAAATCGAGTTTTTGTAATATTTTCAAACTTTCAAGTGGTTAGTATAATTTTATAATACATTAGAAGTTATTATAATTTATTAAATAAAACTATAAATCTAAATTTAATAATTAAATCTACATGAACATTTTGTCATTTTATTAAGTAACCCCATCTTTCATACACATATTCCTAGCATAAATTATATGGTGTTAAATAAGTAACTAATTACTAATATTTATTTCATAAATTTATTTTGAAGAGAGAAACAGGAGAACAAAAAATAACATATGAACCCAATAAAATTATGTTCACCGAGCTCAATTTGTTTTTTTTTGAAAAAAAAATTTCTCTCTCCTTTTCATTTTGTTTTCGGCCCGAATAGGACCTGGACCTGAAATAAAGCTCGATAAAGAATGGGCGGGCTTGGGGCTAACCTTGTGAAGAAAACGACACCGTATGATGCGAACACAATCCCGAACGAAAACCCCTAGTTAAGGCGGAGTAGAAACAGCAAATCTTCGGTGCCAAGGGTTTTTGACTATTTATAGACAAAAAGAGAGAGAGTGAGAGAGAGAGATTTGGGAAGAGAAAGTGAAATTAGGGTTTTTCTCTATCTAGAAAAAGAGTGTGTAAGCAGAAATGGAAGTAATCACGGAGGCTGTTAACAACTTAAACATAGCAGGAGCAACAACAGATTCAGCCAATAACAAGAAGAACCGAATCCAAGTTTCTAACACCAAAAAACCTCTTTTCTTCTACGTTAATCTCGCCAAGGTATTACCAAGCGCTCCCACTTTTCTATTTTCTAAATTAGTGTGTTTTTTTTTTCTTTCTATTTATTAGTTGTAGAGGAAACAAAATTCAGTTTTGTGTTTTTTTGGATGGTTTAATGAATTAATTAGATCTCTGTTGTTTTTCGTTGGGTTTGTTTAAGGTTTTTTAAATTATTTTTTTATGTTTTAACTGATTTGAGGGATTTGTTGCTATTATGGACATGGGTGGGTCCTGTTTTATTCTTTTGTCTTGGGTTTTTCTATTTAGGATTTTTTTTCTTGGCTCTGTTTTGTTTCTGGGGAAATTGTGGATGGGAAAATAAATGAAGGGAAGCTTGTGTATTAGTCCTTTTATTGCGTTAGAATTAGTTGTTTTTTTTATGAAAACATGGCTGGATCTTTTGATTTTGTTACTGATTCGTTTTCGTATGCTTAGTTTGGAGGAGGGTTTCGTAATTTTAGCTCGGTAGAGAGAAGGAAAATGGATTTTATCAACTGAAGAGGTGTGTGTATTTGTGTTTGTGATTTTGTTTAGCTGTTTAATGGTTGGTGATGGTTGAATTTTTGCAGAGGTACATGCAACAGCACAATGAAGTGGAGCTCTCTGCTCTTGGGATGGGTATAGTTTCTTTAGCTGTCATCTGAGGAGTGCATTTATTTATTTTTTACTATTCTGTTGAATTCCGTTTTAAGTGCTGATTTAGCAAACTGTGAGTTGGGGGAGTTTTTTCTTAACTTGGTTGGTTATAAATGGAGTCTGATATGACCACTCACTATTTAGTCACAAAAAATAAGATGGAATTGCAGCGCAATATAGTCATATTATGTTGCTCTCGTGTGAAATTTATAGTCACTGCTGCAATATAGTCAAACAAGTAGTTTAGTGTCATATTTATTGTTATTGGAGAGATTGTTGAATTTTATATTCACGTTGTTACATGTACAGCTATAGCCACTGTTGTTACCATTGCTGAGATCTTGAAGAACAATGGACTTGCTGTTGAGAAAAGTGAGATTTCTATTCTTTTCTTATTTTTTTCCCTTACTTTTTTAGCTGATGTTGAGAGCTTGATCACTTATTATGTGTTGTGTGTTTGTTCAGAGATAATGACTTCCACAGTTGACATGAGGGAAGAAACAGGAGGGCGTCCTGTTCCAAAAGCAAAGGTAAAGTATAACCTTTTGTTGGACCACCTGTCAGATATGCTGTTGGGAATACAATAGATAGAATCCTCTCAGATAAAGATTTCACCAACCTTCAATTTGGAATTGTATCTGCATTGCTCTCTTTGGAAAACCAGGGATTGTTAGCATCTATATATTTTACAAGCAACAACTCACTACATATAAGCATATACATTTCTAGGTTTGTTTTAGAAGATGGAGCACAGTCTAAACTTCAAATTAGAAGATAAGAGTATGCAATGTGAATAGGGTTTTGCCATATCTACTTTCATCAATTGCTATAGACGTCAGGGGATGTAGATCTAATTATCAGTCTAGAGACGTTGCGTATGGTTCAAATTGATTGAATCTGCACTGTTATGAGGCCTCCAGAGGGAACCCTCCTGTGTAGTATTGTACTGATGTGAGCAAGTTGCTCTTCATTCCTTGTCAATAACTAGTTGTTTTTTAGAGATTGAAAGACTTGACTATTCGGATTTGATCTCTTGCAGATTGAAATATTGCTAGGGAAGACAGAAAAGTTTGATGAGTTGATGGCTGCTGCTGCTGCAGAGGAAGCCGCGGAGGCAGAGGAGCAGAACTGAACTTGAAAGGATGAATTTAGCTTGTTCTCTTGAGTTCCTTTATTATGGACACCTGTAAACTGCCTATCTTAGATTGGAATTATTAAGTTTAGTAGCTGTGATGATATTTCTTCTAGGAGTTTTTGTAATAACACTGCATTTGCAAATTCAAATTTGTTTCCAAGTTATATCCCTGGTAGAGCACGAACCGGGTTTCTTGTACTAGCTGGCCATATTGGCACATCACATCTGGACATAAAAACGAGAAGCCCTTTCTACTTATTTTCATGGTCAAGTCGATGTTAAGTTTCTCTCACGAGTAAAAGAGAAGAACACCTTTAACTTGGTTTGGCCTGGCACTGTATGTCGCTGAATTCATGGTCAAATCCGGCACGGAATGCTTATTTCGAGGTCAATTAGATTGCATGTTTCCATTTCATTCCTCCAACGAGCCTACAAGGATGTGGAAAACTCAGAACTCACCTTGCCGCTCGCGTCTTTTTGTATAAAAGGGCGGGAATAGGTTCCTCCACCAAGAGTTCAGAGTGGCAATCCAATAAAATAACATTTTTCAAAATGCAAATGTCTGATCGATTTGGTAAAACCAGGGAAAAAAGGGTAAAAACAAAGGCGATGCATATTTCCTAACCTCCCAAAAAAGTTTGTGGGACTGTTTCCTAAACCAAAAATGAAAACCTCAACGGAGACAAAAACCCAAGATAAATTAACTTGGTATAAATAATAATTACTACTATCTCAATTTTCCCTTTTGCTTTGACAGAAAAACGCTCGAGTCATTTGCTCCTTTCATGCTTCTTCCTCATCCTCTACAAGTATCTTTTTGCATGCTTCATAGCACATGAAAGATATCCCAGCAGCAGGAACCAACTTCATGCAACTGGGTCCCAGCCCTTTATATAACCCCTGGATGCCTTCTTGTTCCAATATGCTAGCTAGGGCATGGATCACATTCTTGTATACTTGTCTTCCGCTGAGAGCTCCTACCTGCATGTGCTTGCGGGCGACTTCAAGAGGGAAAGTTGCGCTGCTTGATATGGCACCAGCAGCAGATCCGATTAGAAGAGTTTCAATGTTGCCAATCTTCTCTTGCTTAAGAATTTTTCGATAGGCTTTCCGTAAAGTGTCATATGCAAAGTAATTTGCTGCAGCATATGGAATAACTCCAATAAGGCTGGGGGCAAGACCTCTGTAGAGTTCTCCAGGGCCCTCTTCACGGAGAATTTTTAAGAATGCATCTGCTATACCATTATAAACACCTCTCTGCAAAATACATCAGACCCCATGAGATAAAGAACAGCATTCACACACAAGATTTCAGTTTCTGATTTGGGTTTTGCACACACCTGTATAGTTAATCGTGTCTTGACCAACTCAAGCGGGTATGTGCACAAAGTAGAGCTCACCCCAGCACATGCCCCGGCAATTAATGACGCAGGAATTGGAAGTTTTGGCTGCTCCCCAGGTGCAGGGGACAGCTTCTTGTTTACCGTATCATATGCAAAAAGCTACAGACACAGAAGCCAGTTACAAGCACAATTAGATACCTTGAACTGGGATGTTACTTTGAATATGCAGAAGTTGCATGGCTTATTTATCCTTCTCTAATTTAAAATAAAAGAGGACAAAAGAGACTGTAAAAGGCAAAGTTAATTAACAGAATGACTGGGATGTTACTTTGAATATGCAGAAGTTGCATGGCTTATTTATCCTTCTCTAATTTAAAATAAAAGGGGACAAAAGAGACTGTAAAAGGCAAAGTTAATTAACATAATGACGGTTCAGAGAGGGCTGATATCTATCAGTCACTTGTTTGAAGTCCATTCTTGAAAGCAGAAGGTTGTTAATTTCACAACTCAAGCAAAGATGCAGTAGATGACAAGATCAATCTTTGTTTACTAGGTGAGGTGCAATCCAAATGAAGAGCTTATGCCAGGCAAGTAAATGCTGGCATCTAGCTCACCCCTGTATTAGCATTCTAAATTTGTTAAAGCAGCTCAGGAATTTTTCTAAGGTGCAAAATATGTTAAAGAATAATATAAATTATATTCTAGGACCTCACCTAATAACTTAAGCTTTTGGGTTGAATTGGTTCTTTGTCATGTTATCAAAGTCTTAATGATCAATCAATCACGAGTTTGAATCTCACCATCCCCATTTATTTGATAAAAATTAAACAAAAGGTAACATGGACATGTGCAAGTTTCAAACCCAAAAGACTTTCACTTAAGGGGGTGTGTTAGAGAATAATCTAAATCATATCCTGGAACTTCACCTAATAACTTAAGCTTTTGGGTTAAATTGATTCTTTGTTAAGGTGCAAGATATCTACTCATCTGAAACAGAGATTAGTTTTCCTGCAATTATTTGGTAGCGTGCATAGTTGGACTGCGATCAGGTATAAGAGGCAGTCAAACAGGGGGAACCTAGCAATACTCATCCACTCAATTTTACCCTCATCCTAACATATGTGCATTAGTTGATGGCCCTTGAAGGTTTATAACACGCTTAACTCAAAGAAAATTAGATGCAACATCTTCCAAGCAAAAGAAATACAGAAGAACGAGCAGCCGAAGGCACTGAATGTAAGGTCAAAACCAGATAAAAACTGAAGGAAATGTACTATCGATAAGACCGAAACCAATCCAGCTAGTGCACAAGCAATGTGCTAGAGATAATTGAATAATTGCAAAAATATAGCCGCTTCTTTTAAGAAAAAGATGCAAGGTAGATTATTGTTATATAAGCAGGGAACCACCATTTGAAACATTTATATTCATCAAACCTATCGGTTTACAAATTCTTATTCATTGTGCATCTGTAATCTCAAAATCAGTTTTGATTCCACGTTACTATTTTCAATTTCATACTTGTATTAAAACTTTCATTCCAATTAAACTCTAAAAAACCTGAATTCTGAATTCACTGCAATAAAAAAAAAAAAAAGGTAGCTAATAAGCATTGACCATGGCCATTCATGCTTCAACCATATAACATCATCAAAACAATTCATAGCCGAACCAAAAAGTTATCAATGGTGAGGCAATTTGCAACCAGAATAAAGCAGAAAAACTGTGCAAACTAATCATCGATGTTGACAATCAGAAAAACATATAAACCATCAATGAACAAGAAAAAAACAAAATGGATGACATCAAGAAAACAGAAAGGAGAGAAAAACAATAAATGCCTACAGTGAGCACAACACTTCCTTCAGCCCCTCAATTACAAGACTGCAAAACACAAACCAGTCCATAAAAATTGCTAGCCATCAAATAATAAACAAAACCAATCAACTAAAACAACAAAACTCACATCAAACAATCAATTTGACCACAATACCATCTCTTTCACAGTGAATAAAACATAAACGAAAGAGAAACTTCATTACCTCAATGGCCTTGCTAGGCGCAACACGAATCACGTTAACCAAATTGCCTCTAAACAACCCTTTCCATCCATCAGTCTGAATTATATTATTAAAAACCTCATTGGTACTATGTCCACTACTCCCCACCATCAAATGAGTCCTAATAGTCTCCAATGGAGCCACTGTAGTCCTTGAAATAGCCCCAGCTATCCCTCCACTAATTAACCTTCTTAATGAAGGATTTTTTATCTTAATCTTCAATTTAAGCCCACCTTTCTTCTTCTTCTTCTTCAGAACCCCTTCCTCCTCTTGAAACCCAACAAATGACAAGTACTTAACACACAAATCATTGTATAGAGACTTTAGGCTGCCGTTGTCCCCCATACCCATTTGATTAACACTTGCAAAAAGACCTCCTGCGGGGAGATATTGCACATCTTCAAAGCTATTCCATTGAGACCCCAGACCGGAAATCCAGAGAAACCCATCTCTATTATCATCAAACAGCTGGTTTCCTCCCCTAGCCATGAATCAAAACCTTGTAAATTACTTTTTTTATGCTTTAATGAACACCCGAACGTACAAAACCGGACGTTTTAGACAGGAAAAGATTGGATTTTGAGCAAATGGGCACCTAACAAATCCATTTTTAATAATAGGTGTAAGGAAAAATTGCAAAAAAAAACAAAAAAAAAAGAATTGAGACTTTTTTTATTGAAGAAACCAAGAGAGAGAGAGGTGACAGTGAAAACAAGAAAAGGGAAAGGCAAGATCTTTGAGCAAGAAGAAAGCTACTAATGTAACTAGAAAGAGAGAGAGGAGGGGTTGGTGAATCTCTCTCCTTCTCTTTCTTCGCTTCCCTCTCTATAACGTTTGTTTTATTTATATAATATAGAGTAGGGGTTTTCAAGGTGGAGTAGAGTTAGGTTTTTGTGTTGTTGGCAAAGGGTAGGGATGGGGAAGGCTGTTGTCATAGCGAGTTTCTTCCTATTCAAAGATTTTGTCCTTTTTTTTCTTCTTTTACGTTTACTTGTGTATTTTGGTAATTTGGCTTCGTCATTTATGGGCTATTTTGCAAATTTCTGAGGATATTTACTTTGAGCCATTCAAATATTTTGTTCTTTATTCAATCAATTTTTTTTTATTTTAACCTGGTAAATTATATAATAGTAATAATAAAAATATTGAACATGACTAGACGCGCTGCAACTAAAAAATTAATTATATATTTTTGTGGTTCAAAAATATTTTTATAAAAACATTATTTTTTTAGTTAATTATTTTTAGTTTTTTTAGATAATTTTCATATATCAGTATTAAAAATATATTTTAAAAAATAAAACTATATTATTTGAATATACTTTTAAGCAGTAAATATTTTGAAAAATAATTTTATGTCAAATGAACTTTTAAAGTTTCTTCTAGGTTGTTTAAAGTATGTTTTAATTATATCATTTTAAATATTTATTTGTAGATTGAGATAAAACTCTTTTCCCATCATATTTTAAATACTCCATTCATTTTTATATATATATAATTTAATGTTGTTCCATCAAATTCAATAACAAATATAATTAGCACATGAGCTAGTCTACTGTTAATTATTTAATTTTTTTTTATTGTTTCAGGGGGTAAAGGATAAAGATATTTATGGTGACAAGATATATTTTCTTGTATTTTTTATTTTAGAATTATTTTAAATATCAATTTATTTTTTTAATTAAATATTTTTTTTTGAATTTAAAAAAATTTTATTTTTCAGAAACTTAATTTATAGGTTTAGATAAACTAATAAAACCCCTGCTATCCTAAATTTTTATAAAAAATATATATTCTAACTTAAAACTTATTATATAAATTTTAAATTTTTTATCATCACATCATGTCTATCGAGAACGTTGAACACACACACTCATATATATATATATATATATATATATATACATATAAAACACAAGAATTATTATATAAACACAGGACAAGTACGCAAGAGTAACCTTTTGGCTTCCACTAACATGCATATTTGAATTAGAGAGCCTGACTTACAGGTTAGAGCTGCATTTTTTTTTGTGTTTATTGAATTAGTTTCGAGTAAAACAATGAAGAAAAACAATTGATTTAATTCAGACCAGCCCTTTATATATATTAACATGTACAATCCAACTTGCTTAGCTTTCTCTGCTCAAAAACAATTATAAATGATGAAGAACAAAGGGTCTGGTGTTCATATATGAAAGAAAAAGGGGGGCCCATTTAAAGATTTGTCAGGACCTCAAAAGGGTCCATTGAACTTGTTCGTACCAATACAATATATAAATATTTATTTTCAAAATCCACAGCATAAACTACAAGGCAATGCGGCCCTGCTGGCTCCAGCAACCTGCAACTACCTTCTTTCTTTTTTCCTTGTTCGAGGAATTGTTTTGAGATCCGGATAAATTAATTGGGTTGATTCAGATTCAATTAATCCCAGTTTAGGTTTTAAAAAAACTAAATTAAGCTTGGTTATAAATCTAAATTCATTTGGTCAACTCGAGTTTGAGATGGCAAGAATCGGTTATACTTTGATCTATTAATTTTTATATTGGGTTATTTTTAAAATAATATTGTTTAAATTATTTAGTAACATGTTTACAATTTTAATAAAAAAATTAATGTTAAAATTATTTTTATTTAATATCAATTTATTTCTTTTTATTTTTTTTTAAAATAAGATAATAGTTATAAGAGTAAAGTAGAAAATAGAATAAATTGAATTTTATTTTGTTTAAACATGTAAATTTAATTTATCCATCAATGAGATTCAAATTAATTATTATAATTAAATTAAATTATAATAAAAAATTAATTTCAAACCACCTATAAAAAAAGTTTAAATTACCCACCATTCCAAATCACGATTCAAACCTTGCCCGGAGTTAGGTCGAGGCATTTAAATCAGAGTTTAGAGAAATTACTTTTCCATAATAATAATTAAAAAAAAATAAAACTGGGCTGGTCAGCTTTTTAGTTTAAAATCTTTGAGATAAGCAGAGAGGCCCTGAAGACAAACTCTTGCTGAATAAAAATATTTAAAGCGTGAATGATCGATCACCCACCTTGAAAATGACGTGGACTAGCCTATCAGGAACCCTACCGAGATAAGTAAAAATAGTCTTAATTTAAATATTGTTTCTGATGTTAAGGCTAAGTTATGGGAAAGTAATTTCAATGTGCATAGATGTTAATCAGTTTAATTACATAATTAATAGTTTTTCTAACATATATATGCTCTAAGGACCTTTTAATTAATGTATTTGGAGAGCTCTATTTATATAATCAATAATAGATTTATTTTTATAGCTTCATAATTTAATATTGTTGAACATGGAAATTAAATTATTTTAATATATTTTTAAAAAGCATTCTAAACTCCTTACCAAATATTTACTACTTACCAATTATTTACTAAGTCATTGAAAGTTAGGTATCCTGCCGAGTTGCCACCAACCCTACTTGCTCAAGCATGTGTTTATTCTGATTCTCCACAGATTTTCGATGTTTTCTCCTTTTCCTTCTCTTTTATACCTCATCAAATATTTCGAAGATGGACATTTGTTGCGTCTGAACTCTGAAGCACAGATGCAGTCAGCAGCGGCCAGCAAAAGGCCGTGCAAGTATATAAAAACGAAGTGACACCAATTTACTGCTGGTGACTCAAGACATCTAACTCAACACAGTGAAATAGAAGCTCGAATATGATGAGAGATTATCTCTTGACTGTATAGAATCACTGAATCTTCCATTAGAGACTTTCTCAGACCTCTCTTGAGTTCATGGCATCTTTGTTTGTATCTGGGTGTTCCATATGAAGGTCATAAATCCAATCCAAATAATCAATTCAGAGCTTTACGATGCATGGATGAGGGCTAGGATGGGCTTGAACATGGGAGCAGAACAAGGAAAGGGACAGCTAAGTGCCCAATATATCATTTCAAGCCCAGAGTAAGGCAATGAACTCCTTACCTTGGAAAGAAGCAGCCCACAGTCCACGTTTATGCATGAAAATGCAGAAAAAAGCCCAGAATAAGCATCTTATATTTTATGTTTTAAAAGTATTTTAAAATAATTAAATTTTATTTTATTTTTTAATTTAAATTAATATTTTTTTAATATTTTTATATTATTTTAATATAATAATATTAAAAATAATTTTTAAAAAATACACATATAAATTATTTTAATATATTTTCAAGAAAATAATAAATAAAATTATCCCACTATATCTATAATGATGACAATTTCACTCGAAATCAAGAAATATAATCAACCTAAGTAAATATAAAACTTTTACATTTCGAGTAAAATTTAAAAATAAAAAATTAATTTTCAAGTTGAGTATAAATATTGATTTATTTTAGGAGTGAGTAAAAAAATTAAAAAATCAATTAAACCAAGAAATCATAAAAAAATAAAAAAACCAAACCATAAAAAAAAAACAAATTAAAATTTTGAAAAAACTGACTGGTTTAGTTTTATAAGCTTGAAATAAAAAAAACTAAACCAAACCGAAGTCAAACAAAAAAAACCAGAAAAAAAAAGTGAAACCAAAAAAATCGAGTCAAATTAAAAAAAACTGAGTCAAACCGAAAAAAACTAAAAATTAGACCAAACTAGTTTGAGCTAGTTTTTTTCTCAAAATAACCAAACCAAACTGAAATTAATTTGTTTGAACCGGTATTTGATTTTTATAAAATGATTTTCGTTATTTTTTTTATAAAAATTAAACCGAACAAGAAAAAATCACCCCTAGTCTACCTTAATTAACTCGAACTCTAAATAAAAACTCAATCCAGAACATGAATAAATAACTTTAAAGTTTGAAAAAGAAATTACATGTATACAAAGCTAATTAATGAATTGTAAATTATAACATTTAGATTTAGATTCGGGTAATTATCTTAGATTCAGACATGAATAATATAAAAACTCAATCCATAGATATGCATTGAGATCCCCAAAAGAGATAGAGATGAGCATTGCCATCCCGAGAAGAGATAGAGATGAACTTCAAACTTTTCTTATTTAACTTTCCACCAATTAAGAACCTTGTTTATGCAGGAAAAAGACAGCTTGCTTTCAACATTAATTGCTTATTTTATACGCAGTCACTCAACTCTAGATAATCTTCTATATTAATGCTAGAAAAATTACAATTCGAACGGTTTCACAAGCTTATTATCTCGAATTTGAATTTAAAGAAAGATATTAGAAATAATATTTTTTAATTATAAATATATCAATTAATATATGTTGAAGGATCCATCTAAAACCATATTAGAAAGAGGGGAAAATTCATCAGAAAATATTAATCTCCTTGAAACTTTTTAATTAATTACAAATATTTATATTTTAGCTTGAAAAGTTTAAACTGGACTCTTGATCATTTATAGCATTCCTTTTAGTTTTTATGACTGTTATTAAATTTAATCTAACTTAACAAGTTAATTCAATCAAATCTAATTTAATAAATTTGTAATTAGTAATATGATTAGTGTGATTAAATTTATATGTTGTGAAAAAAAATACTATTATTTTAATAAAAATAATTGAAACTTGATTGCACGATCCGTACCCTAATTGATGAGACAAGATTGCTGTAGTTGCAAAAGAAAAAATGAATGTTAGACTTTTACTAAAGTGTGAGAGAGAACAATTAATTAACTGGTTCATGAGCGGCCTGATTAATATTTGGAAATGTTGATTGATTTTTAAAATATTTTTTATTTTAAAATATATTAAAAATAATTTTTTTAATTTTTTTAATATTAACATATTAAAATTATTTAAAAAAATTAAATTAATTTAAAATTAAAAAAAATTCAAGAATTTTCAAAAACATTATTAAAACGAAATAGAAAACTTTCCAACCAATAATTTTTATTGAATCATACTATATATTTAGATGGTATTTGAAAATACAGTAAAGATTATGGTTTAAAATAATTTTTATTTATAAATATATTAAAATAATAATTTTTATTTTAAAAAAATATTTTTAATATTACCATATTAAAATAATTAAAAAATATTTTTTTAAATTAAAAAAAAAACACGATTTGAAAAAACACGTTTCGAATCACTTTTCCAGCCACTTAATTAAACCACCAATTGCTTCATATCTCCGCAATAGAAAGAATCCTGTGACAAATATACAGTCTTATACTCATCTAGAAAAAGAATTTAACTGATCAACACGTGATTCTTATTGTTCGTAGATGATGATAAATGTATCGTCTATCTCTTAACTTTACAATATTGTGGCTACCCTTGTCAGCTGCAACCTACCGAGGAGAGAGAGAGCGATAAATTGGGCAACTGGCATGAAGAGGGGAGCAAGTACTAAGCAAAGTTAATAGTTTCGCTTCCTCAATTAGCTCTTATAACCATGGTACTCATAGCCATAACAATAATAGTCGTCAGCTTACTCAGCAATGAAATAGGCTTTGTTCTTGGGGACATTGGGACTGCTACTTCTTATCAACCGCCATATTTACGTGAGTAAATTCTCATGTTTTCCCTTTACTATTGTTGTCTACAAAAGTTTCTTCTTCAAACTTGGTTTTCCTCAATTATGGGTTTATGCTAATCTTTGTGCAGCTACTAAGTGTAATGGGAATAGACAAGATCAATTCCCACCAGGGAACTTGTTTGTTTCTGTGAGTGAAGGTTTGTGGGATAATGGTGCTGCTTGTGGGAGGCGTTACAGGTTGAGGTGCCTAAGTGGAAATAATAAGCCATGCAAGGATGGGACTATTGACGTCAGGGTAGTGGATTTCTGCAGAAAATCACCATGTCCTTCTACTATTCTCTTGTCAAATGATGCCTTTTCTTCTGTATCATACTCTCCATCCGCAAAAATCAACGTTGAATACATCCAGTACGTATACTCCTCCCCCTCCTCCTGATCTTATATATGTACTTTCTTTTTCACTCACATCAAGACTGTTCTTGCAGGATATGATGGAACAATTAAGATATATATATATGTTCCCGAACTGTATCAAGCAATCCGACAGATAGAAGCTGTGAAGGGAAAATGGCGTTTCTCTAATCTTAGAAGTAGTAGCAGCTTTGTACTCCCATTTCTGATTGTTCCATGTTTTAATATGAATATCTATCTCATATAGATATCACATGTTATTGGGAAAATTAGGGATACGAGGAAATCAATTTATCCAGATTCTAATTCAGTGTAATACAAGTTCCAATTATTTTTTTTTATACAATAAAATCATAATCAAACACTGATCATATATAATGTAAATAATCATATAAATCAATACCAAGATTTTAACGTGGAAAACCCGATACAGGAAAAACCACGGGAACATAATTCATCTTAAAACTTCTATTATCAATAAATAATGGGTTCATAATTATTCTTTATTAGATTCAACTAAGGAATACAATATATATATATATATCATTAAGAACAATTTATTCTCGGATTACAATAAGATTAAAGGAGAATTATTTGAGAAAAATTTATAATACTGATAAGCTTGTTTTTTATCAAAACGGTCAGTTTTCACACCATCAATTTTCAATCCAACTATTCAGAATGAAGAGTAACGTGTCTAAAAGTTATTGTTAAAATCTTAACTCGATCTAATGATAAACGAGCTGAAAATCAAGCCCGATCCAACAATAAATTAGCCGGAAATTGAAGAAAGAATGCAAGTTATTCTGCTGTCTTTTCTCTCTCGTTTTTTTTTTTTGTTTTGTTTTTCACACTACATCTATAATATCAACTTCATCTTTTAATTTTTAATGTAATAGTTTCACTACGAGAACACACACATATAATTATACTAATAACCATTCACAAGCGAAGATTATAGAGCAAATCAATAGATCGAATTACGCACCCTTCCTCAGTATGAACAGCCTCTAAGGCCTAGAAATTAAGACTAAAATATCATTTTCCCCATGCCAGATCCATAAAAGTTGTCTAAGATAAGACTTGAACCATGTCTAGATCACTAACAGTAACTCTCGTGATTACATGTTGCTTCGACTTAATGAAGTAGAAAACATCATTATCAGGAAACTTGTAAGTATCTGCTATTGGACTCTTTCCTTTCTTCCATCAAATTAAAAACCAAAAGCAATGGCTACCCTAAAATTAAGGGTTAGCACAGATGATTATAGCTTAGCTCGTGAATTTCTATTTTTTTGGAAATATTAGGCATGGGAATTCCTCGCAAGAAAATAAGGTGGACTCACGTGAATACAGAAGTTCACATGACTTTGTCGTTAGGGCAGCCAATTTTTTTTAGATTAATGTGGATGTCCGGGCCAGCTTGCGCGCACCACGACTAATCCTACGGGCCCTGAAGTTAACGATCATGTAAGTCTCTAGTGGCCATCATATGAGCAACCAATAACTCGAACCTGAGACCATAGAGGGAGCAAACCCCTTAATCCCAAGTTCTTACCACTTGACCACCACCTAAATGGTTTAGGGCAGCCAATCTTGAATAATGGAGATGTATATTAATTCCACAGTTTGTCAATAGTCGTCATAAAAAAAAAAAGAGCCTTTAAAACAATGGCTGCTTTCCATCTTCTCCCCTAACATTTCCCATCAAGCACCAGTCATGAATCCATATTGTCAGAATATTTCTAATTAGACTAAACCGTGTAAACACTGTTTTTTTTTAATATTGTAGCTAGTACAAAGTCATAACATTGTCAAGAATTAATTTTTTAATAATAATTTTATGATAATGTAAAGGATGCTCTTTATAATATCAGTTAGTACAATTCGCAGCTGTCCATAGAATTGTGAGCTCTGCTTTCCACTGATCCACGAATGGAATATGTTTAGGCACACAGCATGATAACACAGTCACAAAAAAGCAGTGGTGAAGATCCTTAAAAGGAATAATCTTAGCTATCCAAAACAAATCCCTACCATATCTTTAATATTGGAAGAACTTATGAGTGCGCACCATCATCCTTGTCATGTTCTCGTATGCTTGCTACTTAATTTCCAGGTCTGTTCTTCTGGCTAATGTTAATTTGGCTGTAATTTTTCAGCATCAATAAAAACATATCATTCAAACCTTGCCACCCATCCATGGAGCCGTCAACCCATCCACAGAGCCGCAAATCTTCGGCTTTATATAGATTGATTACGGGTACCAAGAGGCCCAAGTGACTCTTCAATCTTTAGTTATAACTTATCAGAGGTAATTAGTGGTGGAGTAGATACACTGATGGAGACAGGATGTTTTAAATAAGAAGATAAATTATTAATAAATATTTGATATTATATGTTATATAAATATGTATTATATAAAGAAGTTAATTTAAAATATATGTATTAACTTAAATTAAGTAAAATTAATTTAAGAATACTTTTAAAATAAAAAAAACTTATTTTATAATTTTTCTCTTTGAAATTTTATATTTTAAAAATACTTCATAATAATTTTATTTTTAATCTTATTAAAAATATTTTCTCGATATATATAATAAAACTTTTATTTATCTATTTCTAAATCTTTCAAGAATTATAGAAAAGTTTTTGACAATAATTCTATGTTGATATATAGTATATAATATCTAAAATCATAACTTAAAAAAATTATCACAAATTGATATTGTTTTTAGTGACAACTTGTTTTGTACAAGTGCATTAAGCATAAATATTTAATGTTTTATTTTTAATTTATCTATTATGTCTTTAATTTTTTATGTTGTCATATACTTTATTTTTAATTACTAGTAAATTATCACCATCATTTTTTATATGAAATTCATAGTAAAATACTTATCAATTCATCAAAATTCATTTTAATTCATATTCATTAACATATAAAATTACCTATAAATTATTATAAACCCTAACATTTTCAATAACTTATTATAAATAAATAAAACTAAAATTAGATAATGAAATAAATAGAAAAGATGAATGAAACTTTCCTAAAACATAAATCAAAAGAGGTTACTTGTTTAACTAATTAATAATTTAGAGTTTAAAGAGAAATTTTATAAAAAAAAGAAAGGTGAGGATAATAATGAAAAAAAAACTTGGATTAATTAATAGCTAATAAAAAAATTAACCTTGTAAAGCTATTATATTAATATTATTATATAAAAAAATACTTCAAAAAAAAATTAAGGATGCAATTGCCCCCTCTTGCTCCATTATAGCTATGCCACCGAGTAGATATCACATGGTGGTCTGAAACCCTACTAAAAATGTGATTTTAATCATAAAGCTAGCATGATACTTTGGGTAGTGAGATCCATCATTCCCAATTAGCGGTCATTTAAATCAAAGCAAATGCATCATCCTAGTGGGGTTTCCCTTCTAGTTAAGGCATCTTAATATGCACAACATCAGCTATAAAACATGCCATACTTCAGGAGCGAGATCGATAAATAAAAAACCTGCACGAGGGTTTTAGATCAGTACCATGAATGATGTGCTGTAGAGTGCTGAAGGAATGCTCAAAAGCTGCAGAAGATCAGGAGGGTTGCCGGGGAGAAGATTAGCCGGAAGATTTCTACTTGAAGATCAAGTTTTTGGAAATAAATTATATTATTATTTTCTTGTTTTGTTATGTAATCAGCAGATTTGATTGTTTTTCTGTTAAACAAAAACTCTATTTAAGAGAATTGTGCAATCAATAAAATATTATCTTCTACACAACTTGTCTTTCCTTACGTTTTGTAATTCTGCACAGTCTGTTATAGGATTCAACAAGTTCTTTAAGCTGATGTAGAGTGGCGCATGATCCTGAAGCTGGCGCGCAAGCGTTCTTCGGCAATTGAAAATAATAAAAACAGTAAAAGTTCAATAAAAGATCGAGGTAAACAATAGTAAAATTATTTTGGAATCCAATTTGTTTTTAAGGTTGATTTAATTACTAAAAATAAGGTTATTATTAATAAAAATTATAATCTAATCACATAGATGAGAGATTTATTAGTAAAAAACTAGAATATTTAAGTGATTTATATCTACATAAAAGCAAATTCAGGGACATATTAACTAGCTAATTATAGTTTAATCAAGAGTTATTTTGATAGATTTTTTATTTTTCTTAATAAGCCTGAATCTTTATTATAATTTGTATTATGATGTGCTTGGATTAATTCTTTCACGTTTAATTTAATTGTGCCTTTATCACCGATTTCAACCAATAAAACAAAGAGTTGACAGTGAAATATTGAAGGGCTAGGTCAAGGGTATCTCAACTTTTCAACCATAAACAAGTTGAGGGCCCAAAGCAGATTGACTTTGGACAAAAAAGACAAAAAAACAGGTTGAAAAGCTAGAAGGAACGGGCACAAATCAGAGATACCAAGCGTGATTTATATATGGAGCTCGCTTTTAGACCAACCATGGAGAAATTAAGGACAAATCCCCCGAAATAATCGATCCTTGCTAGTTCTAGAAAAACTGATCTTCTTCGGAATCTGCAACCAACCATATATCTTATTCTATTGCCGTTTCTCTGCATGATAACCCCTTAACGGGTCTAATTGCGATTACATCAACATTCTCAAATAAACACCAATACTTTACATTCTCAACATAAAAAAGTTTTTTGTGCTGGTGAGATTACCGTAACATTAGAAGATGTGTTGTTTATTTTTTATTTTTAATTTCTTAGTATACTATATATTTTTCCAAATAAATTTACTGACTGTGCTAATTTTAAAGAAATTTTAGAGTTCATAATTTTCATGCTAGTAATCATGTTGGGGACAAGTAATAAATGTTCTGATATATCTGATTTTCCCGTAGCTTGGAAGTAAAATCATTGTTGGAATAGTGATTTTATAGATTTTTCACTCCATAAAAAAAACTTAATGTTTTTTTCACTTTTTTTTCCTCTCAAAAACTCTACAGCTTCTCTTTACTGTCCCTTTTCTTTTCTTCAACAAAAGCTGTTTTTTCGCTCAAGAAATTGCTCTTGAGAATTTTTATTTTGATTATTAAATCCGTTAATTAAATGCAGATGAAAATGAGTTAGTGCCAAAATTTGAACAAATGGAAATTGATCATAATGGATTTGTGTGGAAGCATCCGAAGCCAGCAAAAGGGCAATTTGTTGAGCCAAAATTTTCAAACCTGAACATCCATTAATTCATCTTGATCGTTTTAAGATAATATCCACCATGGTTATTGGTAAACCTCTAATACCATATGCCTTTGAGGTTAACGAGTAATTGAATATTCAAATCTTCTTTTGTGCAGAATGTAAATCTGCATTTGTTGGGAAGTATTTGCGTGGAGTTTCCAACTGTAAACTTCAAGTTTCTGATGAAAGAGATTGGCCTATACGAATCATTAGTCATGGCTCTAAGTCATCGAAGGGGTGGATTGCATTCTGCAAGGAAAATGGTTTAAAGGAAGGAGACGTTGGTGTGTTTGAGCAGATCGAGGGAAAGAACAACGTGCTAAAAGTTACAGTACTATTTCATGCAGATGAAAACGGTGGATCTTCGGATCGACTTCTAGGGCAAAATGAACTGTTCAGACTGTTGTTAGTAAATGCTTGCTTATATTTAAGACTCAATAATCCAATTTTTTTTTTTAAAAAAGGCTACTAAACCAATGCCTTAGTCTTAACACGATCTGATAGGTGTCGAATGAAACATGTTTTAAGGGGTTTTTCACGTTGTAAACGGGTTTTGGCCTCAATTAAAGGGGAGATACGTTTATGTACCTCCAGATTTTTTGCAGCTGGCACCAATATTTAAGAAACTTCAGCAGATTATGAGCTAGCCACAATATTCAACTAGCTAGGCCTACGTACAGGCATTCGAGGAATAAAGCTGTGCTAAACTAGAGGTGGGGATCACAAAATGTAGCGGCCGGTTCATGGTTAGCAGGCATTTTGAATTAGAGATG